TTGTTTCATGTCATAATACTATCATGCTTTCTAAACAGACTATAGCTGAGAAAAGACTTGGGTTTCCTATTTTGTTTTGACACAGTGTTATATATTTTGAGTTGTGCAAATTGTGGACATGTCTTTATATATATTGAGTAATGAACGAAAGAGGTAAAAAAAATTGCTTCTTCTGCATTTATAAGGAAAAAAATGTGATTTTGAAATATGCAGTTCATAACTTCTAATGCATATGCTACCCTAAGACGTCATCAGAATTAGCTAGAGGACACCAGCACGCTGAAAGAAAGTGAATTTTCCCGTGCTTCAGTACAGAGCTCAAGTTTTAATCTCCTTTGGAGGTCTTGCAATAAGTAGTGTAAACACAAGTAATCCCTAGAATATGCATCGTTTATTCCAGAAGAACCATTTGGTTCCATTATGTCATTGCTTGCAAGAAGAAAAAGGGAAACTAAAATCTATCATCTTGACCTGGGCAAGTTTAATAGCCCAGGAGTTTAACAGCATTAGCTCAGCACCTAACAGGGGCCAGGACCTGACGGCAGCAAATGGGGGAACTTCTCAACGGGCCTCTTCTGCTAGCAATGAAGAAGGCAAGCCAGTACGGTCTCTCTGTGTGCGGTGGGAGAGGTCAGATGTCTGTGCCTGGGGTAGGTGGACGCCGTGGCTGGGAGCACTACATGTGTGGGGCAACTTCTGCGGGGCTGGGGCTGACCGAGGCCTTCAAGGAGACACTCTGGGAACAAAGGTGGGGATGTGCTGCCTCATCAGAGCCAGGCATGCTGCTGATTCAGCTTCTTCCTGCTTAGAGAAACCTGCAAAAACCAGCTTGGTATATCTCTGCCCAAGTCCCTGTGGGGATTTATGGAACTGCGAGGTAGCATTGGTGTCAATGTGAGCCGAGAACGAGGTACCACGTGGGTGAAGGGCTGCTGGAGGAGGTGGCTAGGCTGAGACGCATCAGTGACTGGGAGAATTTCATCAATATAATAGACATGGAGTCCTCCAAGGAGAGCCAAACGAAGATGCTGGAGACATAGAGCAGGAACAGTGGGGAAGGAGCAGTGGGGAGGAAACAGCCTGAGAGCTCCCCTGAGGAAGGACAGAGCCCATGTCTTACAGCAGATGAGCAATTCACAATAACAGCACCAAGGAAGAAAGAAAGCAGAGAGTGTCTCTGCTTCTGAGGCAGTGTTCATTTTAAGTAGCTCACCTGAGCTCCTGGTGCTGTTACCTGCTCCCCCAGACAGGCACTAAGAATCTGGCCAAGAATTAAAGTTAACAGGTCAAAACTGAGTTTCAAGTTCTGGGAACAGGGATGATTCAGGTAAGGTTTTCCTCATCCAAGGCAAAGGCATTCAAGGGCCATATCTACTGGGTAGGGAATAGGGTTGCCCAGGTGGTGTAGCTTCATTGGCCCTGGCCATCAAGTGTTAGTACTTTGAACTGCTGGATACATCTGCTTACCCTTTTTGTGCTCCTGTTGGCTAAGCTAGCAAGAGGGGTTTAAACAAGGATCAAAGGGTGCTGATGGTGAAGCCCCACAGTAGAAAAATTATCCAGGGAACTCATTGAATAGTCAGTGTCATGCTTTGTTCCTATCCCAACACAAGTCTACATAATTCACCCCCCTTATCCCCTTTACCATGGTGCCTCTTGTTTTGGATGGTTGCTCACAAAGCTGTGTTCATCTGATCTTCTTGGTTTGTGCTTTTTGTCCAAGTTCCCTCACCTCAACACCACATCTTGCACCGTTGTATAAACATAAATCAGTATAAACAGTAGAAAGGGCAAGGCTATCAAAATAGATTGAGAGATGTAAAAGGAAGGTCTGAAGAACATCTTAAAAGCAAGTAAGACGGGTCCCTGTAACACTTAATATGTTCTCAAGATTATGAGAACCACAGAGATTTGGCGAAATAATTTGAGACCGGACTGTTTGTATAGGAGGGGAAAGTGCTTCAGAAAGAACTGTCAGGAAAAAAAGTGAAATGTTGATGGGGATGAATACATTTATTTTGAAGTGCAGAGTACAGGAGATAGAGGTGATGTAAGTGTCTGGTAATTACACTGTGATGAGAATCCACAGTCCTTGCAAAGGG